GGCTAAGGTGCCAGCCACGTACACCTAAGGTGGCGGGTTTGAATCCAGCCCGGGCCCGCCAAGTAGCAATGATGGCTGCAACCCAAAAAAAATAGCCAGATGTTGTGGCAGGCACCTGTAGTCCCAGCTACTTGGGAGGTGCAGGCAGGAGACTCGCTTGAGCCCAGGAGTTGGAGGTTGCTGTGAGCTGTGATGCCACGGCATTCTACCCAGTAGTGGAAAAGCCATGCACACAGGCTTGACAGTCCTGGTTTCCAAGTCTATTCTTTAATGAACATCCTCTGGACACTTCCACACATATTTTTGGCCCCACTTTTGACCTGTTGAATCAAAATACTGACTTGGGTAAGGTCTAGGAATATGATTCTTTGCACAATTAAACCTGGGAAGTGCTGTTCCTACACCTGTGTACACCATTAGTCTCTGTAGCTAATCCTTTTCCATTCATTTATATCTTGCCCATCACTGTTGTGTTATACAGGTTAACATGGGGGTGATATAACTACAGGCCTGGAGTGTGACAAAGTTGAAGAGAAAATTTCAAGCATTCTTAAACTTTGAGTTTCTTAAGTTTCCAATTTGAATTTTTCATAGTGCGGCAGCATTTATCCCGTTTGCCAACGATTGATCCAAATACAAGGACTCTGCTCCTGTGTGGGTACCCGAACGTCGGGAAGTCCAGCTTCATCAATAAGGTCCGTCTGGTGGTTTTTTCCCCACCACTGTACTAACGAGGAAGGTTGGTCAGCTTTTGATTATACAGCAGGGGATCTGGTCATCTTAGGTCATGGTGCTGCTGTGTCCTGATGAGGTGGGTGTAGGATGGCCTGGGTGCACGTGCCCTGGTCTGCAGGATGTGCCGTGTGGACACCCATGTTCTTCTCAGGGAGCTGAGCCTGGTGTGTGCTCTCATAGGACCACATGAGTGTGTGGCTTGTTGACACGTGCAGGGCACTCCCGAGCTGGGCTGTCAGCCTGTCCTGGTGGCCCTGCCAGGGGCTTGTGTGGCAGGTGGCACTTGCTGAGCTAGGCCTCCAGCCCACAGAGGGGCTGGGGGCCCAAGGCCTTAGCTTCTGTGTCACTGTCCCTGTATGCCTGTGGTCTGAGTGGGGTGAGTTGCTGAGTTTCCTCATGTGGGTGGGTTTATTAGGATTCTTGAGAGATTGTTAAGGACTCAGAACTTCAATGCTTCAGGACAATTTGGCTGAGTTCAGAGATTAGAGAAGAAGAAAGCAGGTGCTTAAAGTGAGAATTTGTAGCTGGAACAGCTCACATGCTGGGAAGAGTGTCAGTTGTGTGGCAGACTTGGTGCCAAGAGTACATGCTCTGGGCAGACCTGCAGGTTGTGTTTCCTGCATAAGGCACAGCTCTGCAGAGTCCTCACGGGAGTTTCTGGTGCCTCTCGTGGTGAGCCTTCAAGATGGTCGGTGCTTTGTGGGTGGTACAGTGGACGCTGGCCTAAGTTGCTTTTAAAATAGAAGATTCAACTCTTCAGATACAAGCCACATATCAAGAGGCTGTTAGGGCTCAGTGCCTGTGGCTCAAGTGGCTAAGGCGCCAGCCACATACACCTAAGGTGGCGGGTTCGAATCCAGCCCAGCCCGCCAAACAACGAC